GCAGTCTCCGTCTAACAACCTCACGAAATCTGGTACATATGTGACAAAACACCCATGTCCATAATGACTACTACACAGTAGATGAGTCAAACAGGTTGCGACGAGATGGAATCATGTATAGTAGTCATCAATAGAGGTAATCGACAGAGGTAGTAGAGAGGAACACAGTATAAGAGAATTATCATCAATCAAGCGGTCTTGATGCCTCATCATCTTCTGCACCGCACTCCTCTAGACCAACGGCTCCTCTCCTCCCTCCCCCATGTACAAGATTTGCCAAATGGTGGTGGGAACAAAGAGAAAGAATATTGTCTTCATACCTTCGATAAAATAGTCGAACAACGTTAACCAACTACACAAGTGAAGCATGTTCAATACAGAAGAAGCAATCTTCATGAGAATATATTTGAGCAAGATGGTCAGAACGCTCGTCGTCTCCCTCGACAGTCCAGTCTATCTGGGTATAAACACCACTGAGAATTCAATGTGCACATGACGCCAGCCCTGCCCCAACCCCAACACCGAACCAAAAGAATAATGAACAACAGTAAATAGGGAGCAGTGCAGGTGCGACCACAACTGTCCCATGAGCGCCATCGCTATGCAATCTAATAGCAAACATGCCAGAAGAGAAGAATGAAAATGAAAATGAACTACCCAAAGCATAACCATGCTCATCCCTCATCATCCGTATTTGCAACGTTGTCTAGTAAGACTTGTATTTCTGCTTGCTTGTCAGCTTCATGTCCCACATTCACACACAGCATAGCATGCATGGCCACACTTACATCTTCTACTTTTCGCCTGGATCCCTGATCAAGCGCATTGCCAACTCCAAGTAGCGCATTGCTCACTGCCTTCGTAGCCCCTAGCGCAGGCTTGAGAATGATGGTAGGTGCATGTCTCGCAATAGCCCTCGCCACACCCACCCCACTCCCTTCTTCCATCACCTCTTGTGGTATTGCTATCACCGCATCGCGAGCCATGAGAATGTCCCGCTCCAGGTGATGCACTGCCGACCGTAGGCCAGCACGCACGCTAAGAGGTTGGTTGGCGTAATGCGATACCGCCCGCGGCTCTTCACTGTCCGAATTCGGGTCTTCACCGTCCCAGTCCAAATGCTGTGCTCGCGATGATGAGCCGGTCTGCGGATTCAGAAAGACCTCTGCGCCTTCCAACAACGTCTGGGTTCCGATAGCAACCTTTGCACCCAGGCGTGCAACTTCAGATGTCGTGTTTTTGGCAAACGCATACATCCCTTTCTGCAGGCTGCGGACGATGCGACCGTCCTTTTTGTACTCGCGCACCGGGACGACAACAAGATCACGAACACCGGAGCCGACATTGACGAGTGGGCGAACGGCAGCAAGGCCTGCAAGCACGCCAGGCAGTTGGTTGTTCTTCACATCCGGAGTCCAAATGTCGTTTAAAATCTTGTGCAACTTGTCAAAAGAGGTAATTCCGTAGACGATAGCGTGGCGTAACGTTATATCAGAGCCATCTAAGATTAAAAAATTCATGAACTCAGTAGTATGACCAGACCGAAGACCTCTATAGTCCACACGCTTGGGCTTATAATCAAGCTTCATGGACACAGCCATCACTTCAAGCCGTTGGATGAACGGCTGGTCTGCGGATGGTGATGGTGTTGGAACAGAGTCGTCTTTGAATTCGAAGAAACGAGTGATGAAATCGAGCGCATCTTGATCCACATGGAGCCGCAAAGGCAGCACAGTGACCTTGATAACCAGTTCGGAAGCAGCAAGATCGGTCACCGGTTTAACAGTTACCAGCTCCAGATTAATCATAGGTCGATTCAATTCACGCGCGGCTGGATCCACTGCACAGGTTACGAATTTCTTCCATGTCGATGTAGGAACGTGGTCGAAGATTTCAAGATCTCGCACACGAACATCTACTGAGCTGATTGTCTCGCCAGAGTTTGGAGGAAAGACAATCAGGTCGACAGCTACCCCCATGATGGAGAAAGCAATTTTCTTGTGTTTGCTACGTTCGAGTTTGAGACGTCGTCGAGACTTTGTGGAACCACGTGGCCGCGCCGTAGCACCAGTGGAACGAGTCGCTGTTGAAGTCGCATAGCTGCCAGTCTCGCTCGCCAGGTCATCGATGTCGTGGTTGATCCGGCGTGCAAGAGCACCTTTCTCGTCCTTGACTGGCACACCGATCCACACCGAATTGAACAAGAAGTCTTCTTCAACAAAGTCATCGTCTTCATCTTCCTCCCGAGCCCGTTGCCGCCGTTCTTCAGCACGAGCTTCAACGTCATCTACAGCTTGACTAATGATGTTTCGTGTTCGTGGCCAGTCATAGCCATCGTAGAGATTCCAAATGACGTTGACGTCGCGCACCCGAACCTTGAGTGGTGCATCTGGCACTTTGAATTCGTTGGATAGGTGGTATTGATTCTTAGCAGAATCCCATTTCCGAGCTTTGCCTTGGCGCTCTGAATCAGACTCAACGAAGTACGTCTCGTTGAACGCGAAGCCTGGCTCGGTCTCGACTACTTCGTGCCTTTCCTGGAAACTCTCCAGTAATGCTCGATCATCACGCTGTCGTGTAGTTGGCGGTGTAGCCAGAGCATCGAGGTCATCCTCACAGAGCAGGCTATCCCCCATTTCTTCATCCGTGGGCAAAGATTGAGAATTGTAAAAACTGCCGACAAATTCGAGATTGGTAGGAACCTCATCTTCGACCAGATCAGCATTCTGCATGAAATCGTCGGGTTCGGAATCATCGTCATCTGGGATGAACGCATCGCCGGTGAAAGACTCCATCATCTCTTGTAATGGCACAACCGTCCGGTATTTATCCGCATTTGATGGAGGCATTGGCGGCTGTAGACCATTTAATATCGCGATCAGAGTCTGTGTTGAGTCCGCACAGGACTCAATGACGAACAGCTCGTTCTTGAACTCCACGTCAACAAGTTGAGGAGTTTCATCGCCATCCCCTGTGATGCTAACGTGGACTTTGGCGGCGGAAATTGAGCTCAACGATACATAACCGAGTTCGCCGAGCTCCCGGAGGTAGCGGTTTGTGCCAACAGTCTTGGACGGGGGGCCCAGGTCACGTTCTTCTTCGAGCCGGGCGATATCATCGATGGCATGCATAGATGCTTTCCGGAGTTCCACAATGACGGAGTACTCATCCTTCACCTGCTTGCCAGCAACATGTGCTTCAGTAAGCACGAAGAGGCCTTTTGATGATACCTTTTGAGGATTCAAGCCTATTGCGCAATTCCGCAGTAAGAGATCAATCTGTAGCGGTTTGGCTGTGTTGGCTGGTGGCGAACCGGTTTGCGAAGATTTCCTACTCAGTGATTCGGGAGAAGGGGCTCTTCTGATGGTTGCGACGCTTGATGCAATGCCTAGAGCTATTTCATCTGCTGTCCCCGTCTCAGGTATGCCAAGCGCCGCCATGATAGTTGAAACGCGGTATTCAACGCAGAGGTTGAAGAGTTTGGCCTTGATGATAGGTTCCATCTCGTCACCAACAATTCTCATCATAAGGGCAGGTAGATGCTCCGGTGCTCGCAGTTTGACGGCTTCGTGGACAAGGATCTCGTCCTCGCGACTGACAACTGCGCTTCCAATCTCTACAGCCAACAGAGCAGGCACTCCGACATGCGCCACTGCTGAATTTTTCAATGCTACTGTTACATCACCAAGTTGCTCGTTGATAGCAACTCTGGCGTCAAATTGTTTCACTGACGCAAGTGTGAGCAATCCCGGCCGATCATCATCTGGAAGATACTTCGTAACCTTGGACAAACTGGCCATCTCAGCACCAAGGGCCTCGAATGTCTTCATTTGCTGCAGATCTGATATACGTAATCCCGCTTCAGCAACTTCGATTCGAAGAACAGAACCCTTTCTGCGTTGGCGCAGCAAAGTGTCGATTAGAATGTCGTCGTTATTTTCGTACGGATCCTTGGAGGGCGTGATTAAAGATATCAACCGAGCAAGATCCATCTCCTCAGGCGCGAACAGAAAGTTGATCGTAGTACCTCGAACTTCCACTAGTAATGGTGTGCCTGTTTGGCAAGCATCTACGTATGGTCCGAGGAACTGGATCTCAGCAATCTTGAGACGAACATTGCTTTCACGTACAGCAACACGGACTGATGTGGTTTGCAGCTGCACAGAACATGCGTTGCCCTTAAGCGTCAATGAAACTTCGCCAAACTGTACCTGGATTTTTGGCACTGCAGTAGATATCGGAGTAGCTTTGGCGGGTGGTGGCAATCCGTCACCAAAATGTACTCCGCGAGGTCGCATTTGTGGTGAAATTGCAGTAGGGCTCTGCACATGGCTGTTGGAGCTGATAGAAGTGCTTAGTTCCAACATTCCGCTGAAGCCACCGAATGCGCCTAAAGCATCATCCAGTTTCTGCATATCAAACATAATCTTTATCGGCCGGGTGACAACTGTAATACGTTTCTCTTTGCTCTGTTCGTAATCAATTTCAACATCGTGTTTCAATTGTTGAGGCAAAGCGCTGACAGATCGGTTCGATCGAGGCCGCAAATTCTGGAAAGAAATGATCTCGTGGTCCAAGGAGCCTATTGAGAATTTTTCGATATGCAATTTCGCGTAGAGCCCTTGTTCGCTGGTGCGGGTTGTGAGATGTAAGCCAGCCAGATTGATCCTCAGTATCGCTTCCAAAGGATCCAGCTTTAACAGCCGCATCAAGATTGGGTCATGTACTGAGTCAGCTAGTATATTCTCCAACCAAGCTATGCCAATGTGCTTGACAGAAATATCGACGCTGCTGTTTGCATGGTCTGGCATATCTTCTGATTTCGCTGTGGTCGTAGAATGCGTCGTAGACTGTGTCGTATCATCATTAAATGCTTGTAAAGCCCGATTAAGCATTCCCAGCATGGTCCGGCCGGTTGAGATATCCATGTGCGCTGCTATGGAACCGACTTCAACGCTCACATGTGGGCGAGGCGTGCTACTCGATCGCTCAGTAGGTGGATCTACTCGATGAGGCTTCGGTGTGGAGCGTAATCGAATTGAATCATCCGCAGAAAAATTCCGTCGGTGGGACGAAGAGTGCGCATAGTTGGAAAAGGAGCCCGGCATCTCAGCGAAGATGGAATCTTCTCCCAAATTTGGCGGCTTGAAATTCATGTTCGATGACCCCGTAGTATTTGTGTTTTGTGTGTCCAAGTCCTCTCCTGCTTCAAGTCCTAGCGGAAACCACACAGTGATTTCGTCGATGGTCAGAAATGGCTTGGACTGTTTCCGTGAATGCGACTCCTGCGGCGTGGGCGTCTGTGCGCCCATCAACTGCAGTGAGGCCGCTGATGTCTGGCGGCTGCCAGGCCGCGGGGTCTCGTAGCCATCATCTGCTTCTGGCACTGTTTTTAGTATACTGCCAGATAACATCTCGTCTGGGATGGATTCAGAGGATTCAGAGGATGCAGCTCGACTAGAGGCTGATGAAGATGAATCCCATCCACCAGGTATCTGTTGCTGAGAGTTTGCGTCTGGTTGCGCAGCACTGACCGCACTCATATACATGCTCTCCGCATCATCGTGCGTGAAGAGTTGCGATTCTGCTAGCTCGTCACCTCGTGATGCAGATGACGCGAGGGCAAAAGTGCTAGCCGCTGAGCATTGGTTGGACTCATCGACGTATTCGTGGGCAGCAACCAGGTTGTCGACTAGGGAGTTGTCTTCGAGATATTTCGATTGACACGGTGACTCAATCAGATCTGGACGATGGAAGGACCGTCCAAGAGCTGATACAGTCGGGAGATTTGAACTCGACACCGTGCTGAGAGGTTCAGAGCCGTGGCTCTGTTGACTTATGCTTGAGTGTACCAATCCTTGTGCATCAGGAGCCCCAACCGAATCGTGCATTACAGACACGTCATCAAACCTTGAATGCATGAGACTGTTCTGCATTGCATACT